CAATGTTGAAGCACTTTTTTACCATCATGAGGTTCGAGGCAGCAAAGCTGCTTTAGCCCATAAATGAATTGCTTTGTCTCTAGAGCATGCTCTCCATTTAAACACAGATACACTAATCACCTAGGTGTTTACTCAGTTCAGCAGAAAGCCCTTCCCAAATGCTATAGCTAGAGCACGAGGGGAGGACCTGCTCTGATAATATAGCCTTAATTGTTGAAACAGATTGTGAGACCAGTGTATAAGAACTCTGTTACGTCTCTCATAATTCTTGGTATGTAGAATCACCTATAGGTGGTATGTCACTTTTCCTTGAAGACTCTTGTATGAAATCTCTGATTAAAGAACGAGAAAGAATGGCAGTGACAACAGATGTCTTCATTTTTGGTCTTCTCTTCCCTTTCCTCAGCTGAATGAAACAGACCTTATGTCAAGCAAGTACTAGACAATACTATACCATGGAGAGTAGAATAAGAAAAATGTCTATAACAAAGAGAGAAGGGGCCTATGGTTATAACTGCAACATGGGCAAGTTGTCAATCACATTGTTTTGGTACATGGTAAAACATTTTGAATCAAAGTCCATATACCAGCTCCACTGGGCAACCTGAAATTGTGCATCTAGCCCCATTCCAGCTGTGGTTGTCTGCTCGCTGAGAATACGGGAGAAACTGACTCTTCTGTGCCAATATGTTCCTCTTCCATAATTAACTATTAATGATCCTGTCATATATATAAACAGACCACCTTGGCACACTATCTGACATTCTGTGTTTTATTAACATAATGAAACATTTTTCCCTGCCTATGCTTGGTAACGTTCTACCTAGCTTCTCCCTGAAAAGACCCCTATTAGGAATTAAGCCACTCAAAAGACAAAAGGAACCTGCATTTCACAGGTGCATCACAAAATTAATATAAATTGACTCAACTCCTTCTGCAAGATAGAATTTGCCTCTGTGCTTCTCAATTTTTGACAAGGTTGTAAAGCATCTTGTAAACGTGTGAAAGCATTGACAGTTTCTTTAAGTGCAGGCAGTGCTTCAAAGTAATGAAATGTTCTACAAAGAGCTCTTTTAAAACATTTTTGAGAGCATTACAATATTTCTGGCCAAAGGATTAGGAGCTGCACCCACTTTAGGTTGCCAGATTAGGTCTACCTGGCCTTGGGAACTGTATAACTGTATACTTCCTGGTGTGTCAATTCATCCAGCAGTCTTGGTCCTCACTCAACCATGATAAGTTTCCAATGCAAAAGTGAACGCAAATTAAGGGTTCTTTTCTCCAGCTGAATGGATGATATATACTCTGGCTTTTAGCTTGATGGTCACCTTTTTAAGCTGCACAGAATTTTTCTAAGAGAGGCAGAGATTACTGCTAAGCCTCAAACATGTTCTTTATCGCCTCTGACTTTTCAAGAGACTCGCTCTCCTTTGTGTACAGGCTCCCTCCAAAATACCAACCTGATAAAATCTATATATATATATATATATATATATATATATATACACAAAATGTCTGCTGGCAGGCTGCCTTTCTTGAAGCTCATAGTATAATTCACCCTCAAAAAGGCAGAGAGAGCAAGAGAGTAGAGTAAGACACACATACCAAACAGACATTTTGAAATGAAGCAACTGATTGTGGCACAACTAATCCATGATCCTGGGGCTTCAGGGCCCTGGATCCTACATTCCCTGAAAATGGGAGTTCCTGGGGCACACAGGATCAAGCCCCTGAAGTCCCAGGAATGCTGCCCAGGAAGCTGTAGAGCACAGGCAGCTCCAAGTTGCCTGCATTCTCCTGCCTAAAAGATGCCAGCTGCAAAATAGCAGCACAAAATCATAGTACTTGTCATAACCACAAATGTTGGGGATCTTTTATGCAGCAAAGGCAATGCCTGTTTACTTTGGGGAGGGGAGGGGAAGAGGGGGTGGGGAGGAGGGGCATTAGTGACCTTTCCCTGGACTAACAGTTCTATTCAAATCCCAATTGGGAAATACAAAGGTGGACACAACCCCAGTGACAGTGCTTGGCAAGAGTTACAAGCTACATGGCACAGCACCCCAGCTTGAATCTGAGGTAGGCTGGTGTTTGCAACCCAGTCACCATCACCATTTCTGCCTGCAACAAGCAAAGTCCCCTGCTGTCAATGCTCCCCAACTCTGCACGCTAGATAAAATGGCTCCACAGGTTATGTCGCCAAGCCCTGCACTGTGCAGACCTGCCAAATAGGTTTAACATGAAAAACGTTATGAACAACATTATTCACTGGTGATATTTTAGTCTACATGTAGACGAGTCATTTCTTCAGCTGTACAACATTCTACTTTTCTTTTTATTGCATGGTTCTTAGTGTACTGACACCTTTCACAGTCCACTATTAAGCTGTTTCTTCCCCACTGAAAAAAACTGCTCTATTTCATGTTTTCCATGAATATATATATATTTTTTTTTTAATTAAAAGACCTCCACTCTGAATTTCATAGGGTCCTGGACAAAATATTCCTTAAAAAATGTCTTCTAGTACTCATTTAAACAACATCCCATCTTTTAGTGAAATTTTAATGGTTTTTCTGCTGCTCCATCTCCATTTGCAAGGGTCTATTCCTTCCTCAATTACTAGGTAAAAAACAGTGAAACCAATTATAAATACAGTGCACAAAATGAAAGGGCTTTGTAGCAGCCTTAGATGAAACAGAGGTACAAAATTTTCAAGTTCAATCTATTCTTTGAACAGGGAACTTAAGTTCTAACTCAGATACTTTGCATCTCTAGCTATAGGGGAAGGTAGAGTGGAGAAATTATAGACATTGTAAAACAGAGGACTTCTTATTTTACCAGCTTTCTTTTCAAACCTTGCTACCAACTCCATGATACCTATCTGCAACGTAAGACAAAATTACATTTCCCAAACTGAAATCATAATGAAAAAATGAATACCTAAAAACCACAAAAACCTCTGGAGCAGAATTCCACTAAAGCATACAAGTGAGGCAGAGATTCAGAACTGAATTTCATTAATAAGTGGACACAACCACAGCAGCAAAGCATACATCATTAAATTTATTTAACAGTACCTTGAATATTTTAGCTTCAATGTTTGTACTTGCAGTACTTTCAGAAAAATGTTTAAAAATGAAATTAGTAAAGCAAACTCAGTAAATGGTCTCCCATGTCAGAGATGAGGAACACTACTGTAGTTACTTGAATATAAGATGGCCTCACATAAGATAACTGCCTCTCCCCAATAAATAGATTCTATATATGGAAAGTTTATGAATGTGTTATAATTTTCCAAATAAAGAATCTAATTACTGGAGGTTTGCTTTGAATCTGTGCCCCTCTCACTTGTACAGCAGGAAAAATAAATCTGGGAGGTCAGGTAGCTGCTTTGCCCTCTGTGTTCCTCATGTCCCATTTCCCCCTCCCCACCCCTTACTTTCAGACCCTACTCTCCCTGAGCACATGGAAGTGAGAAGCAAATTTGAAAACACTGATCTTGAAATAAACATGCCTGTAGTAATCTGCATATAGTAACCAGACTTAGTTCATTCAGAATTGATGCATTTTTATCCCTTTTGGAAACTGCTGCAAGTTTTAGCACAGGTACTACATAAGCACACTTTAAGCAGCACTTTTGTACTCCTTTATATATAGTAAAAACTACATTTTTTTAAATTTAGTGTCTCAGGCCAAATCAGTCAAATGAGTTCTGAATTTCATGCACCAAGCAGAGCCATTATTCAGGTCCTTGTGGTACTGTTACCAGGAAGTATCTTCCCTCCCAGATTTTTCAGCCTGGAGCTTCAGATACTCCCAAACCCATGGCAGTTATCCTATGCAGAACCCCCAAACTATGCATGATATTAGTTTAAAGTCAAAAGGCTCAGGGTTTACCATATACTGCATTGGGCTAGGCCCCAGAAGAGCCAAAAGCATTTCAAGCCACAGTGACTCTTCGGCTCAGTATTATTTAGTATGTATGTACTCCAGATATCCCCACAAAGTATCCATGCGCTAATCAGCCCCCAACTCATGACTGGTTATTTGTGACCAGTCTTGGATCCTCCAAAAATGTATATGCAGGTGAGGTGCAGGACAACCTGGTCTCACTCCACCATGTGGAAGGTGGGAACACAATAATCATATGTGAAAGGCTGAGAGACGGGGGGGGGGAACAGAGGGATTCTGGATGAACTGTTTGGGCCCCATTTAGTGATGTTTGCCAGGCATTTAAGGCTGGCAAAGAAACAGGAATTACTGGAAAGGGGAAAGGCACAGTCCACCTTTGGCGTGAAAACAAAGTTAAAATATGTTCAGTGTAGTGGCTCGCCATGACCCGAAAGAGTCAACACTGAGAGAGACCGCACACAATGGGCATTACCACATATCTTATACAGGTGGGCTATATTAGCCAGTCCTTGTGGCCAGTTCTCATCAGCATCTCAGCCTTTGGGGTAGGATAAAGCATTTCTAGCACCAAGGGGAGGGTGTCAAGACCTGTTCTAGCTTTTCTGGTGCTGCCTGATATTTCAGTACCTCTAGGCCCAATGCCAGTTCCCCGTGGAGGGAACACTTGTTTCTTTTTTTTTTTTTTTTAAATTAAAGGGCCACACATACAAAACCAAAGAAGAGTCCCATCAGAATGTTTGCCCAATATGGGACACGTACGTTAGTCTTGCTCAGTGCTGGCTACATTTAATTGACTTCATAGCTGGATTCCACTACTGTGCACATGCTGCTTTTGGCAGCATTTTATCGATAGACACTGTATTTGATGAGGTTTCCTTGTATGCAAACATAAGACCAGGGGCTCCCCCCCACCATGCTGATTGGAGGAAAAAAACTGGCATGTATCTAAGTAAATACAATATTTAATTCTCTAATTATGATACACATATTTTAAAGAAATCTGAACTGCGAGTTAGTTATAAACAAGATATTAATGCTAAGTTAAAGATTAGCCAAGCGGAAGGACCCCACAGTTTATTTTGATTTCTCACCTCTTTGTTTGGAAGGTCGTTGCTGCTGCTCCTCCTCTTCTGTGGGTTCAGAAGGATCATAATAATCACTGCCATAACTGAATCCCACTGCATTGTAAGTGCCATCTTCGGCTAAAGCTTCACTCAGCCGCTTATATTCCTCCTCTTGAACAAAAAAGTAATTTCTAATTAGCCACAAAAACCTATTTAAAGCATATGACTTCTAAAAAAAAAAGTATATCAAATGTTTTTTACTCAATTTGGGGGTAAAAATATTGTATGCATCACTTTCATCTAGTCCTCATAAATTGTGCCAAAATTTCTGGCCGCAAAAGAACAGCAGAAGGCAAGTGCTTTTCTGCTGACCATATTCTTCCTGCTGAAAGAAAGGTTTGGGGAAGTTAAGTAGACTGATACAATGAAAGGAAGAAAGAATGCTGACTTTCATTTATACAATACTGTTAAAGAAGAACAGCTAAAAGGTTTTTTTCAAATTCCAGTCTGCCCTCAAATCTGGGCAATTTCTGTGTGGATCTATATATTAACTATCCTGAGGTCCTCTCACATACGCAAAGACTCCTGCTTTTCGAATCCACTGGGTACTGTCAAGATAACATCAAAAAGAGTGAGTATAAAATGAGTGGGAACAAATTTAAGTTTTAAAATTATTGAATTTCATTGAAAATATGTTCTAACTCAGGAAGTGTTCCTTGAGCAATACCTTGCCTCGCCTCCTCCTCAAGCAAGTCCGTATGCAAGGCTAAATACCTCTCTTCATCACAGAGGGCCTCTATTCTAGCCTCCTCTTCCGATAACTGGTAATCTCTGTTCCACGTGGAATATTCAGCATCATATTCAGAGAGGTCATGCAGGTGACCACGCCCATCATACCTGCAAGATGAAGAAGCTGATCAGTGCAAAGAACTTAGGGCTTGAATTTGTGCAACTACTTAAAAATACTTACCCATTAAAAACGAAAAAAATACTTATATGTTAAAAAGCGTCTCATTTTAGAGTTACGTTTAAATTTGCTTATCATCTGCACCAGCTATCAAAATGCAGTAGTTCACTTTTTTAAATAGTCTAAAGTCCTCTCTAAGAAAATAATATAGATTACAATTAAAGGCAAGAGTATCTTTTAATAGTTTAAATGGGATCCATTTCTTAACATATCTTACCGTATATGGTTCAACCGACCATTCAATGTCACTTGCAAAATACTTTTTTTTTTTCTGGAAAGTCAAATAGAGTTTACATTCACACAAACCCGAATACATAAATACCTATCCGTAAGAACCAAACGGTCGAAATTTCCTCGCTTCTTTCTGCTAGTCCCGAGCTCTCAGGAGAGATCTTCACCAAAGAAACTTGCGTCCATTGGAGGTAAAATCATGGCTAGGCTCGGCCCCTAGCCATTTGGCTGAGGAAATAAGTTCTGGGTTATGTGATAGAGAGACACACATACATAGGAACAGTAACATATACATGCAATTTAAGGAGGTTCACCAGAAAAAAGGGCAACAGAAATCTAAGTACAGGTCCTTTCCCCTAAGCAGAAATGGTTTGGTTTGCAGAAAAAGGGCTGCATGAGGTTAACATTTGACATATTTCTCTTTGAAGCATCGGTAAAAGAAACTGACAGAAAATAAAGTGAGAGTCAACTCCACTCCGCTGATTTGTCTTCTCACACACAATTCTTGACTTGAGCCAACTTGCTAAATCAAAAACAAAGAAAGTAAATACAACTAATAGCAAGAATTGTTATCGAGAGATGCTGGTCTCGTTAATCAAGGTGTCTGTCCACAGGCAAACTTCCACCCCAGTCTTATCATAGCAGTATACTCTACTCAACAAATATAAATGAAGACTTTGTGCTGCTGGAGACAGATATCTAAGCATCCACAGGAATTTGTACGATTAGCGCAGAATGTTTCATCAAATCCTAACTTCTCATTTGTAAATGCAAACCTCCTTAACTTACAAATGTAGATTGTTATTGGTTTTCAGTATTATGTACATACTTAGTGTTTGCTCCCAACAATTTCTGTAGCATTTCTGTCCCACCACATTGTTGCAGAAACTGAGAATTTGTAATTTACATCGTGTAACCGACTAATGAAGTATTTCAAAGAAACAGACTGCCGGTACAGGCAAGGCCACATGGTTAACTTTATGCTGCCACATGAGCAAAGAGTAACACCCAACTTCTAGTCCAATTTCAAACAACAGGATCCCACCGCTTCCCTACAGACCATTTGTGTTTCGCCAATCACAGACAGTCAGCCGGGGACTTGGACAAATCGCGTCCACCCAGGGCGGGAGGCCGAGCGAAACGAGAACTGAGGGAGCAAATGCCTAGAGTATGTCCCGCGATCCTTTTCAAACCAAAGCCCTTCTGCCTTTCCCACTTTGGCTTTCAGGACCAGCCACGGCTCCTCAAAGCGATGTGCTCAGTGCCCTGGCAGGACACCCCCAACCTGCCTCGTCCCCGAGCCCAGGGGACGAACTCAAAAGGAAATCCCGAGTTGCTGAAACTCCGATTGATCCCATTGGACCTTCAAACAAGCTGCTGGTCCCACAGCAAGATCGACCCCGAGGCGCAGCTCCTGATCCAGGACTGCAACTCAGGGCACCAGGAAGGGTCACCCGGTTGGTTTCAGGATCCCGGCAACTGCTTTGCTAATGGCGGGAGCCTCTGATTTCTTCCCTCCCCTGCCCCCCACATCTGGATCATGGCTTCGCGGGCAAATGGAGAAGCGGCTTCAGGCTTGACTTGAAAAGGAGCGGGGCCGCCCCTGCTGCCCCCCTCACCCGCTCCGGCTGGGGGCGGGTGGGACACCCCACAAACGGCCCCTGTCAGGTCACAGGAGCGGGGAGGGGGAAGGGTGGGGCTTGCCACCCCGCTAGGCAGGGGGGACCCGCCTCAAGGGCGCCGCAAGGGGACGCCGCAGCGGGGGGGTTGGTCCCCCGAGCCTGCCGGGAGGGGGGGAGGCGGGCGAAGGCGATGGCAGCGGAGCTCGCGGCGCGGGTGAGTTGCACCGACCTATCGATCAGCATCTTGGCGTCTCCCATCCAGGGGATGAGGTGCCGGCCTTGCTCCTGGTGCTGCGCCTTCTCGTCGTCCCGGAACAGCTTGCAGGCGTAGCCGAACACCAGCAGCTCCACGCGGCTGCTCCCGCTCCCGCTGCCGCCGCCACTCCCGGGGGGCCCCGGGGCCGCGCCGCCGCCACCGCCGCTCAGCAACATCAGCGGCGCCGGGCCCGGCTCCTCTGCAGTCCGTCGCGGCCCCCCTGCTCCACCGCCGCCGCCGTACATAGTGGGGGAGACTATCCCGGCCGCGCTACACCCCCCAGGCCCGCGGCCCCACCATCGCCATCGCCCGAGACAAAATGGCGGCGCTTCCGCTTCCGGCCGCCCAAGGTAAAGCGAGACACCCGCTTCCGGCCTGTCGGCAGATTCGTCACAACAGCCTCAAGCCGCGGGGTCGCCCGGTGGCGGCGGAGGGTCCTGAGGAAGCGGGGTGGAGCGGGAAGAAGCTCGGAGAGGAGTGGGCGGGCGAGTGGGCGGGGTGAGCACTACGGGCCCGTGACGAAAGTGCTAATAGGGGCAGCGGGCTG